TGCGTAACTAACGCCCGCAGCTCCATCAGAAAAAAGTTTTTGTCGTCGCCCTCCCTCGAGCGGAAATCCTTATGGGTACGCCACTGGTGGTTGTTATTGTCTTTTCTTTATATTTTTCAATCTTTAGACAACATACTGAGAAGCTAGAGCTGTCTTTAACTTAGAACAGGCGAACGACGGTCTAAGTTTCGAAAATCATATGTTACTGAAAACGTCATTTCATATGAACAGGTGAGAATTTGCTCTTTTTATTGGAATTTAGTTGATATTCTCAATCAAGATTCCAAACACTTCTCAATTATCTGTATCTCTATGCATACGTCTTACCGGTCTACTTCCTGGAATCCGCAGTGAAGTTCGAAAATAGGAATTTGCATAAAGGTAAAAATGACAAATTGCAGTCATTTTGACGCTGGATCAAAGTTCTGGTTTCTATCTTATTTGCTAAAAGCATCATTGAATTTTTGCCTTCGCCTACTGTACACCCATGTTTTCCTCCAGCAGGTTCTAATACGGCTTTCTTCATGCACAACTGTGAACTTACCCTGATGAAAGCTGGCCGGTACAGTCCAGAGTCTTCGTGTTGTACGTTCTCCATTATCAATCCCGCTTTGCTGAGCAGTACCGCTTTTCTCGGCTTTCTTCTCTAAACACATAAGGATGTTGCTGTAGAATCAAATTAGGTTGAGGATGGGATTTCTCCCCCTCGTGCTTATACAGTGCAAATATTATATATTTTTACAAAATAACTTATGTAACCGCAACTTTCAAATCTAACTGAATTCGGAAATGTGTGATGATGAGGAAAGCAGGATGGAAGAAACTTGAAGAAACTCTATTATACTCGAAGAAGCTTTGGTCACATCTCGTTCACCACATGATTATTATAAAAGCCAGCATTTGCATGAAAAGAAGAAAAAAATACCTTCAAGTATGGCTTTCTCATTGGCAAAAATCCTCTACAATGTTTGTCATAGCGCTCTCTCCATACCGGATGCGTCAAGCAGTTAACAGCGAATTCGTTCCTCGTTACATTCCATACTATATCTTCCACGACATGACGCACCCAAGCGTCAGCTCCTTCATCCGGGAAGTAGACTAGCGAACCTTCCATTACTTGTGCTCTCTGCCCAGGAAGAACGCGAACCTCAGCTACGGACTGAAAATCATAAGATAGAAACTGGAATAAGTGGTATATTGTGTTTCTTACTTCGTAATCCTTGACATCGAATGTGAAGTTCCTTTCATAGAAGAAACGGTAGTAATTGTTGTTGTTATTGTTGTTATTCTTTTTTTTCCTTTTTGCATCTGCTTCACGTACACAGAAGATCACGCAAAATATGGCGAATGATTTCAACAGCTGAAATGTTTGTCTTTTCTTGATAAAATGTCAAATTATCAAAGTTCTCAC